ACTAGAGATAATAATTACCATTTTGACAAACATTCTTTCATTCATCTTTTATGCACACATATACACATAGCTTTCAACATATAATTTTACATAAATGGGTTCATATATACATGCAGATTTGTAAATAACTTTTTTTTCTCAGTAATATGTTGTGGACATTTTTCCGTGTAAATGAAAATAGATATGCATCTGCCATTTAGGTGCTTGAAAATGCAGTGCATTGGAAGTTTTTATCACTAACTTTTTAGCCCCCTGCTTCCTGATGTACAGGGTCCAAACTCCTGCCAGGATAAACGATGCTTGCTATGAACTTCTGGGATTGTCCTAGGGTAAACTTCAAGTATTACCATCCTATCAATTGGGGAGCTCTTTGAAATTTAAAAAAGGATTTTATAATAAAAACTGTGTTTTTCAATGTTGTACCATTTTACACTCCTATTACCAGTGTGATAGTCCTATTTACAGAACCTCCCTTAACCCGGGGTCTTAGTCTCATCCATTTAACATTCTATGGTGTTTTGGGAGGAGGTGAAAACATTTCCTGATCATCTGTTAAATTTGTATTTCCTTGCTTACCTGGGTGTTTGAATATCTTTTTATATATACTTTTGTCATTTGTACATCCTCTTTTATTTCTTTGCTATTCAAATCTACTGTCCAGATTTCTACTGAAATGCTCATCTTTTGTTTTTGAGTTTTCCTTTTATTTTGTTTTTATAAAATATTTAGGCTTTATCATATGTATTTTGAAAAACTGTTCTCGTTTTTATGCATGATGATTTAACTGTCATATACTAAAATAAATTATGTGTTTATAGAGTTTTTTGGTTGTGTTTTTGCTGGTGTTGTTCAGATGTTTTAAATTTTCATAAATTTATTAATGTTTTCCTTTACTGTTTTTAGTGTTTGTGTGACCGAAAGATCTTCATCTGGGTTATAAAAATATTATCTCATTTATCCTTCTAATAACTCAAGTATCTTACTATTTTTCAACATTCAGATTGATGTAGCTAGTTCTTATTTAGATGTACTGAATAACATGAAAATCCAAAGTTTTTTATCCAAAGACCTGCCAGTTTGTTTACCTCCACAGAACACCGGAAAAATAAAGACAGGCACACATTCAGGTATTATGTGGGCTTAAACTGATAGATGATTTCAGATTTGAGTAGACTACCTCAGAGGAAATTGGGGACCAATGTCATTACTGAGACTGTGAACATACCTTTACCCGCTGATGGAGACTGTTAGAATGTAATATTTATTATTAGGTATGTGTGATGATGAGTAGAGAAATAACTTGAAAGATCAAATTTAGACATTATGAAATGTTAATGAGACTAATAAACTATAGGGTGTTTTTTGTGGATTATAACTATTTCAGCAGCATAGAGAAGTGAGCAACCATAGGAAAGATTCAGATTTAAGAGGATAAAATGTAAGTTAAGCGTATACAAAGTGAAGCATACATTCTAGCTTCATTCAAAAAAATACCAACTATGAGGCAAATAAGATAGGATTGGCCTTATGGGTAGGACTCTGAGGAATTAAAATGATAACAGACAATAAGTTAATAGAATGCCTCAGGCAATTACAGTAAAGGGGAAAACAGGGTGGAGACAGACTTCATTGAGGATGGGATCCAGGGATTATAAAATTCTAAAGGCACATTATGTTGGTGGCCCCCGCTGCTAGATGGCCATGTCAGGGACGAGTCTTCTGAGATAGAACAGAGAAAGCGCTTCTACCTCAAACTCTAAGACTCTGGTTAGCGTATAGGAAGACAAGAGTGAACACAGGTACTGAGAAGTGAGACCTTTATTTCACACCAAATTTTCATGTATTGTCACATCCATTCTCTTTCATTGATCTGTCTGCCTATTTCTGCACTCCTATTGTAATTTCATAGTATATTTTAATATCTAAAATATAAGGAAGCTTGCTCTTTATTGATCTTTTCTAGAAATTTTCTAAATTGTTTCTTATGCTTATGATTATACTTGCATTTTAGAATCCCTTTGTCAAGTATCCTGACCTCCTTGTGATACCCATCCAACCATCTGCCACCTGCGTCTTAGTCACGCATGGGTAGGCTAAACTGTGGTGGCGAGCGACCCCCAAATCCAAGCAGGTTAATACAACAACAAAAGTTTAGTTTTCACTCAGAGTCTATGCCCTCTGAGGAAAAAGGCACTGGTGCGAGTTGGACAGTAGAAGGGCTTTCTCCACAGAGTTATTCAGGTACCCGGCTGACTGAGGTTCCAACACTGTGTAGCCCCACTACCCATAAGTTGTCGCCTCCTCAGCTCCGCTGGTCCAGATTCAGGGGAGAGCAGCTGCAGAACTGTGTGGGGGCTAAAGGGATGATGGCGCTGTCCAGCAGCACTTTCTGCCATGATAGAAATGTTCTAGAATCTGCACCGTCCAATACAGTAGCCATTAGCTGTATGTGACTTTTGAATGCCTGAAACAGGACTAATGTGACTGAGAAATTGAGTTTTAAACTTTGGGGAAAACTTTATTTAATTTTCAAAATAAATACGCACACATGGCTAATAGCTACCTTATGGGACAATGTAGGTCCAGAACTGGTTGCCTAGACAAGTGTCACCACAGGGGAACTGGGAGCATAGGAGAGTGCACGAGCTTTGCTGTCTCTGCCTTGACTCCCAAAACAACACCACAAAACACACACACACACACACGCATGCACAAACACACATACATTCCCACTGGGAGTTCCATTGTGATTTTAGCAAAGTCGTATTTTAATCTTTTAAACATAGGGTCTTCTGGTTGAAGGTATAACTTTCCATTTATTTTAGCATTCTTTTATTTCTAAGCCATGTTTCTTGATTTTTCTGCATGTAAATCCTATATATTTCTTTTAGAGCTGACTTTGGAACCAGACAGACCAGTGTTAGAATTTTAGCTCTGCCACTTATCTTAAACTAATGTAAACTCTACTTACTCCAAAATAGTTATGTAACTTCCTTAATGATCAGTTTTCCAATCTATAAAATTAGGAGAATAATAGTACCCATCTTCCCAATACCATCCATGTTGCTGCTGCTAATGTTATTGTCACTATTACTCCTCCTCCTATCATGACTACTATCTCATTATTATCATCATCACTATTATTAAGTAGCAAGGACTTTATGTAGATAATATTATTTAGTTTACACAAGAACCAAATGGGGTTAATGAATTTAAATCTGGTAAGTATGTAGTTAGTGCAATGATGGGTCCATATTAAATACTTAATATATTTTAGCTGTTATTGTTTTTGGTCCTGTCAACATGAACATCATCATCATCATATCATCATTGTCATCACCACCATCATAATCGTGATTACTGTCATCACCATTGTCGACTGTGTTGTGTCCTTAGCATCCCTTCCACCCTACCCCATCAAGAAGGAGCAGATTTGATTAGGATTGCTCCTACTCCTGACTCCAAAGGAGGGTGATTCTACCCCAAGGCTACAATGACAGGTTCAGGATGCTCATGTAACCCAGGCCAAAGCCTATTGAAACATGGAATGCCATCAGTCACAACGATTTGTTGATAGGTTTGTGACCTAAGGTGAGCAATTAGAGAGAAGGCCAGGACTTTTTTAAAAAAAATATTTATTTATTTGAGACAGGGTCTCACTCTGTTGCCCAGGGTTTAGTGCAGTGGTACAATCATGGCGAACTGCAGCCTCGATTTCCTGGACTCAAGTGATCCTCCTGCTTCAGCCTCTCGAGGAGCTGGGACTACAGTTGTACACCACCATGCCCGGCTAGAAGCAGCCCAGAAGTGTAGTTCAGTGGTTGAAGGAGAGAAGATTTTTCCTATAGGGTCTAAAGGAAAATGGGAGACCAACAGAGAGAAGCAGGATACTCGTCAACACTGTGCCACTATATTGAACATCATTTGAGGACTGCTCTACCCTTGGGCATTTTGAGTGTATGAGTCAACATATTTCTTTTCTGTTTGATTTTTTTTCTTTCATTTACTACTAAATAAATCTGATTGAAATAATGAACATTCTTCTCATAATTCTTTAAAAGTATTAATTGGGTATTTCAATATATTGTGAAGCTGTATGTAGTGATTCTATAATCTCTTTGGAATTGGACATTTTACCTAATTCCTACTGTTTGTTATTACTTTTCAGATGATTCTTTTGGGATTTTCTAGGCATATAACAATGTAATTTGAAAATGACATGATGTTTGCTTTCTCTTTTCCAAGATTAAATAATATTTTCTCTTTCTTAACTAATTGGTTAGTAATTCTAGAAAAATGTGAAATAATAATGGTGCTAGCAAACATTCTTCCCTTAGTTTTGCTCTTAATGGGCCTTTATTTAAGGTATATCAACTCAAAGAAATATTCTTATTTTCCTATTTTCTTAAAATTTTTGATATCAAATAGCAGGTCTAACAAAAATGTAATTCCTTCAAAGATGATTGATCAGAAATTGGTAACAAAGTGTCCAGATAAAACTTCCTATAGCAAAAAGAAGAATGAGATATCAAGGGAGCTGAAAGAGGAAAAAAATAAAGAGAAAATAGTTGCAACACAGAACTTAAAAATGAATTAGGAGCAGTAAAGGATTTATATGGCAAAAATTTAAATCAGCAAAGTATAGGACAGGCTTAACGGAATCTAAAAAAAAAAGCAGGAAGAGGATACAGAGATATAAAAAAATTTAAAGAAAGTATAGATTATAACAAACAATATAGAAGTCCTAAATATGTATATTTTGTGTGTCTGAAAAAGAAAAGGGGGACTGATGAAGGACCAAAAATAATTTCAAAAACTAAGAGAAAAAGTGTTGCTTTAAAGATGGGAGAATGAATCTTCAGATAAAAATGCTCACAGGTACGTCAGAAATCATGAGAATGCTATTATATGAGAAAAATAAAACCAGTGGCCTGGGATATTGAAGATTTATTCGAAAGAAAAACGGAATTCTGTCATTCTGATTTTGCTTTGTTCCACAGCTCCTGAATTCGTTGGCAATTTTGGTGATAGTCTGAGTCAGAATGAGGCCCCAAAGCCTTTCAGCTCTTCATTTTGTGCAGGAGCCTTCCGGCCACCTCTGGTTAAGCAGCTGCAAATTACATGCGTCCAGACCCCGCCTCTCCTGCTAAAAAGCCAGCACGACCCACCAGACAGGGCGGAGGCTGTCTGCTGTCGGGTCTTATCCTCCTTCCCTGTCTTAACAGCCAGTTGAGTTGGGGGCTGGCAGGAACTCTACGTTGGTTTCTCTCCATCCATTATGCAGCTTCTACACAGCAATAGATTCTGCCTCCATGGCACTCCCCTGGGGACCTGGGTGCGAGCCGGCAAACGTGTGGCACATGAAGGACTCCTTCCTCAGTTTGCATCAGGCACCAGGGCACTGTTCAGTGAAGTGACAAAGGTCTGTGCTGCTCCTGGAGGTCCCTTCCTATTTGTCCACTTTGTGTTGTAATAAGCCAGTGTTCTTCTACCTTGCAGCAGGAGGATGGGGCCCTTACACATGTCTGTGTGAATAAAGGTTTTTTCTGCATTTTTTTCTCTGTCCCACTCTCCTGGCTTGTTGTCCCATAGGGAACAGGAGGATTTTTATAAATATGTATTTCTATTACCATATTTTCCTTGTGTCCTACTCCCTAATTCTATCAAAATTACATCTTTTAATTTTTTTTGTTTCCTTGGCCTAACACCTAATAACCCCCCCGAACAGAATCCTTAATCTATTATGCACTCATATACATCTAGCTACATTTCTCTAGTCCTGTGAGATATGCTCTATGTAGTGAATGGTGAATATTACCATGCTGTGTTCCCATTTGACTTGAAGATGACATGCAGCCTTTAAAAAAATGTGATGAGCTCTGGCGCAGTGAATCGGTCAGGGTCAAGCCAGGAAAAGAGTCTATAGCAGGTCATTCATTAGATGAAATTTAATATGGGAGACTAGCAACAAAATTTTCGTTAGAATTGATGAGAGATCCAACTGGTGACACTAGCGGCTGCAGGGAATCGCTCTCACCGCTAGGGGTGGAAAGGCAAAGAGAGGAGAAAATGGGGTTGTGAGAGTCCAAGAGCCAGAGGGGGCTCGTCCACAGAGAGGCAGAGACACAGTGGGCACTGCTCACGGGGAGCAGGGACTGGGGGGGAGCCACAGCCACCACGGGGTACGCTGTCCAAAGCAGAGAGAAAGACAGAGTGACACACCCTGTAACTGAGTCCATTCTGGATGCTGTAACAAAATACCTTCCCGCTTGGTGGCTTATAAAGATCAAAAAATTATTTTTTACAGTTCTGAAGTCTGGGAAGTTCAAGGTCAAGGTGGCAGCAGATTCGATGTCTCCTGGCTCGTGGAATGGCAGCTTCTCCTGGTGTCCTCGCAGGATGGAAAGGGTGCAGAAGCTTCCTTTGGCCTTTTTATAAGCGCACTAATCCCATTCATGACCTAGTCACCTCTCAACACCAACACCTTGGTTAGGATTTCAACACATGAATTTTGGGCGGACTTTCAGACCATGGCACCTGGCATTTTCCTTTCTCTTGCTTAGATCTGCCACCGGCTGAAGCCCATTGGAAGTCTGATTTTACAGGTGTCAGCCCCCTTGAGTGCCAAGCAAAGCAAGGGAAAGCAGAGAATGGCTCTGAGGGTAAACAGGTAAACATCACACACATCCATGAACTCATGCAAACACAAAATCTCACCAACATTTTGAGAAAAATTTAAAATGAAAGACTGATTCTTGTTTTGATTAAGGGAAATAAAAAAAAGATGCTTCTTTCATGAAGCTCCCCCACCTTCCCTGATGCTTGAAATCCCTTTCATAGGAAATAAAACTTTGGTTTACCATATACCAAGCAAAGTAGTACATACTCCTGGGAGAGAGGACACCTGTACCTTTTCCATTCTTTCTACTCCTTTATTGCTAGAAAGTCTCATGCCTTTTATTCAGTGGACACTGTTTTAGGTTCTAGAGATAAAAACTTTAATCATAGACACACTTTACTAAGACACAGAAGTACAATATGTCAATAAGTTATAATTTTAAGCTAAAATAGACTATACAAAAAGCATGCCATGAGACTAAAGAGGAACAATAACCAAGGCAGGGACATTTTTGTCTGGGTCTTGAAGAGTAAATAGGAGTTAAAGAAGGGAAGAGGGGATACTAGGACAGAGAAAGATGGAGGCATCATCAGAGAATGGTGAGGCCTTGCACATATATAGAAGAACAACAAAATCTAAACTGCATCAATGCTGCACTGTCCCTTCCCTGACCTATCCCACCCCCAGTACGCACAGGTACACATACCTATGGAAGGCATTATTGTTCAGTTCCTGTCCCGGCCCGCGGGACCTTCTGTTACTCGCGGGGGCGAGGGGGACCGTGCCTGAAAGAGATGGGCGAGAGAAAGAAACGAGACCAAGCAAATGGTTGTCAAGGTCTACTTTACTTGGATTTTTAGTAGGTTTTATATACAGAAAACAAGGAAGTAGAAACAGAAAAATAGAGTGGGGGGATGATGAGGCTTGGGTGTGGGCTAATTAGCCCCAATCAGCATCTCAATGGCACCGAAAGCTGTTTGTGATGGATCACTCAATCCCAACCTGGCAGGGGGTT